ATTACAGCTCATCTCTCCCACATCACCATCTCCCACGGCTTCCCCTGTTGTTCATCGAGTCCGAATCAGGAAAAGTTCCCTAAACTCAAATCGGGGTTCTGTTCCTAACTCTACGAAGTTTTCACCCTCTTCTTTTTCCTCTCATCCATCTTACACTGGACAGTATCCTCATTTTATCATTCCATTTAGTCGTACACCTCCTCCTATCTCCATAATCACTATGAAAGAACTCCTTCATAAAGAACCTATTTTTCTTTTTGCTTTGCATGTTTTTCCTGTCAGTCTTCCTGAGAAGTATCATGATTTTGGGGATGTGTTTGACAAGAAAAAAGCTAGTGTACTGCCTGTTTATCAGCCTTATGACTATCCCATTGATTTACAGGAAGGAGCGTCACCTCCATGGGGGCCTATCTACGGGTTATCCCCGTCCGAGCTTAAGGCCCTCAAAGAGTACGTGGATAAAAACTTTGCCTCGGGGTACATTCAGCATTTGCAGTCCCCGGCTGGAGCGCCTGTCTTCTTTGTCAAGAAGAAGGATGGGAGTTTGCGGCTAGTCATCGATTACCGAGGTTTGAACAAGGTGACTATTCAAAACTGTTATCCGCTGCCCCTGATCTCAAACCTGTTGGAACGCCTCGGCGGTGCCCACTTCTTCACCAAGATTGACCTCCGTGGCGCATACAACCTGATCCGGATCCGGCTTGGTGATGAATGGAAGACTGCGTTCTTAACTCGCTATGGCCACTTCGAGTACACTATCATGCCATTTGGCTTGACAAATGCTCCAGCAGTTTTCCAACACATGGCGAACGATGTCTTTCGAGAGTTTCTTGATCAGATGGTGATCGTCTACCTTGATGACATCCTCATCTACTCAAAAACTCAGGAGGAGCATGACAAACATGTACGCAAGGTGCTGGCAAAGCTGCGAGAACACGGCCTATACGCGAAGCTTGAGAAATGTGGCGCCTCGTCGACCTCAGCTATATTTAGGCTATCCTCGATCCAAGAGTGGTGGAGCTTCATCAACCTATAGTATATATAGGTTAGCCTTGTTCCATTTCTCCACAATCTGAATCAATGCCAGTCTAAGGCCTTTTCTTTGTTTCCACTAGCTTTTCTCTTTGTCTTTTTGCATTTTCCAGTCTTGATCTTGTTAGGGGTCTTGACAGTTTGATTCAGATTGTGTTTTTTCGTTTTTTGATTTTCGTTTTGATTGTTTGATTACCTTTGCCTTTTTTTCCCCCTTTTTTCTTTCTTCTTGCCAATGGAGTCTCCAAGCCATCCTAATTTCTTTGCTGAAGTCCTTGCAAAAATCCAGTCTGAGAATACCGAGCTGAAGGCGACCCTTCTTCGCATGCAGCAGGAGCTTGCTTCACTTTCGGCTCAAGGATCCAGCAAAGTTCCTGAACCGAAGGTGAGCTTCCCAACGAAATTTTCAGGCAAGCGTTCGGAGCTTCGTGGATTCCTGAACCAGATGGAGTTGATCTTCGCACTTCAACATCGGCGGTACCCTACTCCCGAGTCTCAAATCGGCGCGATTGGGACGTTGCTTGAAGGTGCAGCTTTGTCATGGTTTTCTCCTCTTCTGGAGAAGAGCATGAAAGGGGTCGTGGTTCCAGAGCTGATGGATCTTCAATTGTTCAAAGAGAAGCTCGAAGCATGTTTTGGCGAGACAGATCGAGTTCGGGCTGCTATCACAAAGATGAGACGTCTCTCTCAGGGGTCTCGTCCTGCCTCGATCTACACTGCAGAGTTCCAACTCCTTGCTTTGGACACTCAGTGGGATGAGCGGGCCCTGATTGACCAATTTCGTTTTGGCCTCAACAACAGTGTCAAGGATTTGTTGCTCACCATGGAGGATCCCAAGGACCTGTCGGATGCCATCAACAAAGCTGTTCGATGTGACAATCGTCTCTTTGAACGTCGTCAGGAAAGTCACCGCGCCGCTATTTTTCCGTCCCAGACTCAGGAATCCCAGCTTGAGTCTTTGGGGCATACTCCTGAACCTATTGCTCCGGTTCCGATGGATATTTCTGGTACTCCCCGACTCATTAAAGGGAAGTTGAGTCCTGCTGAGAAGCAACGTCGAATATCTCATAATCTTTACCTCTATTGTGCTTATCCTAATCACAAAGCAGCTGTATGTCCCAAGAAGCCTCCTCGACTGCTCGAGTTCACTCTGCCTCAAAGTCCACCTCTATTGCAGTCGGGAAACGACCCTGTCCAAACAGAGTAGGAGCTGTCTGTTTGGACTCCCCGAATAAAAATCACTTTTCTTCTTTATCAAGCTCCTCACCACCTTTCATCAAAGCCACCACCAATTCCCGCAACTTCCGCGTCCCATGTCTCCTTTCTTTCACCGGACAATCAGGACTCAAGGCTCTGGCGTTACTGGACTCGGGTGCAACTTCCTGCTTCATGGACACGGACTTTGCTGCCCGACATCACGTTCCTCTTTCTCCTACCATACGGGATTTGAGGGTTGAAGGCATCGGCGGGCATTTTGTGTCTCCATCTTCTGGACTTAGGGAAACGTTGCCCGTTCGAGTACACATCGAGTCCACCGTCACCGATATCGCCTTCAACATCATCAACAGCAAGTCCTCCTCTGTGGTGCTCAGTCTTCCTTGGTTCCAACTACATCAGCCTCAGATCTGTTGGAAGGAATTACAGCTCATCTCTCCCACGGCTTCCCCTACTGTTCATCGAGTCCGAATCAGGAAAAGTTCCCTAAACTCAAATCGGGGTTCTGTTCCTGACTTTATAAAGTTTTCACCCTCTTTTTTTTCCTCTCTTCCATCTTACACTGGACCGTATCCTCGTCTCATCATTCCATTTAGTCGTCCGCCTCCTCCTATCTCCACAATCACTATGAAAGAACTCCTTCATGAAGAACCTCTTTTTCTTTTTGCTTTGCATGTTTCTCCTGTCAGTCTTCCTGAGAAGTATCATGATTTTGGGGATGTGTTTGACAAGAAAAAAGCTAGTGTACTGCCTGTTCATCGGCCTTATGATTGTCCCATTGATTTACAGGAAGGAGCGTCACCTCCATGGGGGCCTATCTACAGGTTATCCCCGTCCGAGCTTAAGGCCCTCAAAAAGTACGTGGATGAGAACCTTGCCTCGGGCTACATTCAGCATTCGCAGTCCCCGGCTGGAGCACCTGTCTTCTTTGTCAAGAAGAAGGATGGGAGCTTGCGGCTAGTCATCGACTACCGAGGTTTGAACAAGGTGACTGTTCGGAACCGTTATCCGCTGCCCCTGATCTCGGACCTGTTGGAACGCCTCGGCGGTGCCCGCTTCTTCACCAAGATCGACCTCCGTGGAGCATACAACCTGATCCGGATCCGGCCTGGTGATGAATGGAAGACTGCGTTCTGAAGCCGCTATGGCCACTTCGAATACACTGTCATGCCATTTGGCTTGACAAATGCTCCAGCAGTTTTCCAACACATGGCGAACGACGTCTTTCGGGAGTTTCTTGATCGGATGGTGATCATCTACCTCGATGACATCCTCATCTACTCAAAAACTCAGGAGGAGCATGACGAACATGTACGCAAGGTGCTAGCGAAGCTGCGAGAACACGGCCTATATGTGAAGCTTGAGAAATGTTCCTTTGATCAGCAGTCTGTGGAGTTCCTTGGGTACTTTGTCACTCCTGAGGGTATCACGATGGATCCTGCCAAAGTCAAGACTATTCTCGAATGGGAGCCTCCACAATCAATGTCGGACGTTCAGGTTTTCCTTGGCTTCGCCAACTTCTACCGCAAATTCATTGATCTTTACTTTGACATTGTCCTTCCTCTCACACATCTCACTCGCAAGGATGTTCCCTTCTCTTGGTCTGCTGCTGCCCAGCAGGCCTTCGACACACTCAAGGCGGCTTTCAGTTCTGCTCCTGTCTTGATCCATGCTGATTCCTCACAACCTTTCTTCATCGAGGCTGACGCCTCCAACTTTGCCATTGGTGCTGTGCTGTCTCAACTCGGAGCAGATCACGAACTTCATCCGGTCGCTTTCCATTCTCGGAAATTCCAGCCTACGGAGATCAATTACGAAATCCACGACAAGGAGCTCCTTGCCATCGTGGATTCCTTTGGAGAGTGGCGCCGTTTCTTGGAGGGGGCGAGCCATCAAATAACAGTCTGGACGGATCACAAAAATCTCGAATACTTTGCCACTTCCCGAGTTTTAAGCTGTCGTCAAGCAAGGTGGGCACAATTCTTGAGTTGGTTTGACTTTGTTATCAAGTACAGACCTGGAAAGCTTCAAGGCCTTCCTGATGCTCTTTCAAGGCGCTCCTATCTCAATCTCAGGCCTGGTAATCCTGCCTTCAATCAACAAGATCAAGTTATCCTCGGTCTTGATCGGCTTCAAGTTATGGCAATTTCCCTGGCCCCTCAGGACTCCTCCTTGATGGATGCAATCAGAAACGATCTTCAATCCGATGATCTCGCTAGCTACATTTTCCCCCATCTTCAGGCTGGACACCCAGTGACTCCCGACTACCGGCGATTTGACGAGTTCGAGTTCTTAGATGGCTTATTATACCGTGGGGAGCAGCTTTATGTTCCTAAAGGTGATGCTTGAAGGTTGGTTCTGATGGCGTGCCACGATAACCAGAGCCAGGGCGGGAGGATCGACATCAAGAGAATGCCGGCGGAGATGGACGAGGTGAGCAAGAGGAGGATGAGCAAGCTCCTTCGCAAGCACGCCGCGGTGTTTAAGCTCACGTACAAGCACCACAGGGCCCAGGAGTGGATCGAGCTCAGGGATTTCATGCAAGAGATCATGGAGGCCGAGAGGCAGGCGATCCGTGACAGGGATGAGAAGCTCTCGGTGTCCATCGTGAAGAAAATCTTGATGATGTGCAAGGATCGCAGGGCGCCAGTGACTCCGCTCAAGAACTTGAGCAAGAGTGTGCCTTCCCTGTGGATTTTGATGGGTTTCTCCGGAGGTATCCGGAGGATTTCCGGCTAGCCGGGGGATCCAGAATGGTGGAGCTCGTTTCGTGGGATCAGTCGCTAGCCGTGACTGACAGAGAAAGGGCTGTGGAGGCAGGAAGAACGCAAAGAATTCTCGGCCCTTGGGCGTTCGTGAGTACGTTTCCAAAGAAGTTCGAGGCGGACAGGATTTTCTGGGAGGAATTCGACAAGTTCCAAACACTTCCAATGCCGTCACCTTACGAAGACCCCGGCAACTCGGCAGATCCAAGCAGTCTGTCTGGAGAGAAGAGACTCCTGGCAGTCTTTCACGAGCTACTCAGCCTCACGATCGAGAAGAGAGCATCTCTTGCAAAGTTCAAAGGATTCAAGCAGGAGTTGCGGCTGCCAGAGTACTCAGACGCTCTGCTTGCGAGCCACCCGCGGTTTTTCTACGTCTCAGAGAGCAACTCACGCCAGATGGCGTTTCTCCGCGAAGCTTACCGGGAGAACGATCGGGTGTCCGTGACACGAGTAAAGGATCCGCTGGTTACTATAAGGAATCGATACATGGGCCTGCTAAGGGTGGAGTTCAGGGAGCCGCGGGTGAAAAGGCCTTGTGTATTTAGCACAGATGAAAGCGATAATGAGGTAAGTTGTTGCTCTATATGTTTTCTATCTCATCTTGGTTTGTTTGGCCATTTGCAGGATTGTGACACAGACGCCGCAGATATACCATGAATCGTGAAAGGAGAAAGCGCTCACAAGAGACAGACACTGATCGTTTGAGAGGTATGTTGCTTATTTCTCTTTTTCCTTTGCGGGCAGTGATGACGAGGTCTCTAGATGTTTTCTATCTCACCTTTTCGTTTCTTTGGCCTTTGCAGGAATGCGACAAGACGCCGCAGATATACGATGAATCGTGGAAGCAGGCATGCGCTCACACGTTGATCGTTTTTCCGGTCATGGGAAGGTATGTTGCTCTTCCTTTGCTGCGAGCAGTGATTGACGTTTGTTGGTTATAGAAAGCCAAAGCCGCGAGCTCCAAACCTGTTCTTGGAGTGACATCTCTTCGTTACCAAATGACCATTTCAATGCCGCTCGGCGGGAAACTGAGGTTAGTCGCAACCGGTTTCTAATCTTTTAATTTGGAGATTGATTGTGACAGATTCAAGACCACTTGAAAGCATACAACTTCACAGGATAGGATCGAATCAACGTATATAGCGATAAGATCTACATAGCGAAAGAAGAACACAGTCCCAGCTACATCGTGACACCAGGTAGTCGCAAACATCCTTGTGCCAAAACTCCATCACCGATTCCCAGAGGCTGGGAACTCGCTTGGGCAGTGCCACCCTCAGCAAGCCATCGCCAGTCAAGTTGTAGCTCGCCCTGTCCTCCACATACCTGAGAGGGAAGTAAAGCCTGCGAGCAAACACTTTGGTGCTCGCTCCTCCGCGCTCCAGCCTCACTGCGTGGCCGCCATCCTCGTCCCGAGCAACGCCGGCTATGGACGCGATGCAGCCAGTCCCTTGCGCCTCTCCCATGAGCTTCAAGAACCAGTCGCGCTCCATCATGCCCCGGATCTCCCGAGCTGCTGCTGCTTCTTCGCCATCCTTTCCTCCTCCCCCGGACGAGCAAGTGACTTCCACCTGAGCCGACTGCGCGCCAGGCATCTCCGCGACGATCACGTACGAATCCGGGAGCTCCAAGATGTCCACCAGTGGCGACACTGTGATCACGCTCGGGTCATGGACGCAAGCACCAACTTTGGTGGCAACGAGAGCTTCCGGTCGGACGAGTCGATCAGCGTTTTCGATGGTGTGGTCCATGGGCGGAGCTCGCAGCCCACGAGCCGTGGAATGATCCTCATCACTCCGAGGCTCCAGCTCCACCAAGTCTTGTACTAGCTCGGATCCTGGAACAAGCGGCACCGTCACCCGCAAGAGACCATTCTCAATCCGGTGGCTGATCCTGGCCGCGTCGGCGTGCCCGGGGAGGATGAACTTGCGAGCAAACAGCTTGGTGAAAGCACCGCGATCACGGACGGAGAACTCGGCTGGCTCCTGGTCGTGGGAGACGCCAGCGATGGAGAAAAGATGAGAGCCCTCTACTGCTTGCACCTTGATTGATACGTCGCTGCTCGCCACTCCTGGCATCTCCACCAGGATGAGATACGCGCCTTGGAGGCGCACCACGTCGGTGGGAGGAGTCGTCACCACCGTGTCGCCGATGGCGCAAAGGAACGACATCATTGCGTCCTCTACCTCGACTGTGGCGTTGGAGGAGCTCCCGCAGCCCCGCGCGTGGACGGAAAGGCCATGCTTGCACGCCGCCACCGCTGCCGTGAAGAGCGCCAACAGCAATAGCGCCCTTTTCATCTTACCCTACATCAAGAGCTTAGCAATTAGGATTATTATAGAAAATGATCGATCAAACCTTTTACAAAAAGGATTCCAAGCTTTCAGGAAAGGCAGTACTGTCAAAACACAAGAGCGTTAAGTTGGTGTAAGAAAACAAGCGTTCCGGGCGGTTTTCGATCCTCTACAGCCAGCTGTGATACCTGTAAACTTGCGAACTAGATCAGTGGTCGCTTCGCCACCATAAACTCCCTCTTAGGACTCCTGCATGACAAGAAAGGTAACACTTTGCACAGCCATTTTGCTCCCGCCTCGTCCATGAATCTTGTGCACCATTTTGACACTGTCAATTAAGAGAAAAGCGAAAGAGAACTCGCCCAACCAAAAACTCACCTCTACTGTGTAATGCCATCCTTTAACAATTCTGCTGCACAGGAGCACCACTTGGTCTTACTCGTCTTGGAAGGGCTTGTTGCACACCCCCGAGCAAATCCTTTTGCTCTAACCACGACGGTCCTCGTCGACAAACCAGACGTGTTCCAGGAACCATGGTCTGTGTGGCTGCATATACAACCAAAGAGTGTCCGCCTAAGGCAGCACGCTTGTCAAGGATAGGGGACCTAATCTGGGATATTGGGACGGGCATAGGGTCGCCTTGCTTGGCGGCATGGGAACTGAGAAGAAGGAGCAACTAGCACGGATAGCAATGAACAAGCTGGCAGAGAATGTTCAAACCTCTACTGACGGTCATGTGTCTCGAATAGCTGCAATATTGCGGCGAAAGAGAAGTGTGGAATGATAAGTTGATTTCTATTTTGTCTCTTCAATGCTCTTCTTCCAGTCGGCACTTTTAGAGTTACTCAATGTTATGCTCTCTGCCAATGGAGGACAAGGCTCAGTCGGCAGAAACATTGCTTGCAATACACTACTGCTAACTAACTGAGCCGTTTCGGAATTTTAGATGTCGAGCCTGGAGCCCTAAATTTTGAATGGATGCACTTTCTTTTTTTTTTCCTGTGAGATGCAGCCATTCTGTGCACACCCAGCACGCACACCGTGAATCAGCATGGCAGCAAGATCTCACATTGGGATTCAATCGAGGCCAGAAGAGCAGTCCAGTCCAGGAAACCACATCCTTATCATCGAACAAGAACTTCGCTTCCTCCAAATGCCAAATTTGGGCATATGCTACGAGCATGCTTGTCCACGTAACCGGGATTCTCTGGGGCACCCAGTTTAACAATCGCCTGGCTTCTTCGGTCAGGCCCATCTGATTCTAAGCTTAACCCATGGGCCCCCATCTTGCATCGGCATTTTCTGGAACACAATCGCAGCCTCATCCAGGTGCCTCTTCTGGGCATATGCTGCAAGAAGCGCGTTCCAAGTGAGGCAGTCGATCGAACGTCTTTTTGGCTTCCTCCATGCATCCCTTGCGCGCAAAGGTGATGCGACTGCAGGAGATCCTCCATTGCGATGCAGGTTAGCTCTTTCAATTCGCATTCTTCGGTTTCTGAGCTCCAACAACTCCAAATTCTTTGGAAACTTTCTGTGTTGACAAAATACAATAAGAAATAGAAAATGAAAGACAATGCATTAACTTGTTTTTATTTTTAAACCACAAAGCAGAATCTTATTATCTGTATACAATCCGTGGGCTCTGCTAACCAATTGCGCGTCTGGTCTGCTCGCTGAGGCGTATAGTGTGCCCATCTTCATGGCCCCATTTGCCAATCCAGTACTGCAAGCCGTGCTCATTGGTCGATTCAGCTGTTGGTCCGCTGAAGATTGGTCTCATGTACAAGGTATCCATTACGACCTCCTCACTGTTGGCCGGGTTGGGTCGAACTCTGACGCACTGAGCTTGCCTCCACAATGAGAGACTGTACTTTCCAAATGTTTTCCTCTCACCTGCAGCAAGCATGCATACGGACATTGATCAAGAGGATCGATATAAGCGGATGAGGCTGATTGAATATACGTACCAGGTAAGATTTCCACAAAACCCCCTTCAGACTGAAGCTTTTGAGTAATGAAGAGCACGGTGCTGGTTGCCCAACCTGTTGCGGTGGATGCAATTGATATACCTGAGATGCTTGCAGCAGCAGCTGTGAAGGCCGCCAAGGCCTCAGTAGAAACAAAGAACACATCGATGACTCCATTAGCAACCAGAGCCGCGCTGAATGGTGCAGCGGCTCCAGCGGTTGCAACGACAGTGGCAACCGCCGCAAATACAGTGACAACAGTGGTGGCAATACCAATGGCTGCAGTATCAGGGCCTACCTTCACAAGGTAAGGGTCGCGAGTGTTGTTGTAGATGGAAATGTAGGAGCCCATTGCAAAATTTTGCACCCCAGCAGGCAGGCAATGCTGGCAATGTTGCTCGAGGAATCCTCATCCTGATATTTAGGGGTGCAAGCGGCATACAAGTTGCTAGTGTAAACAGAACGTGGAAACTCTAGGACATTGACAGGAATGAAATGTAACAACAATTGAGAGCGTTGCAGCGTGGGGAAGACGTGGATGCGAGCCTCCAATTCAACATAGCACCACACACCAAATAGACTGTAGATAGCCAGCCTGGAGTCTAATCCAAGGTGGCAAGAGATTTATGTGGACGCTGAAATGAGCGGACACAAGACTTGTATATATTTACATGGAGAAAATGAAAAGGCAGTAGGTTAGGGGAAACAGAGTGTGTCGTTTAACTAGAAAACTATCATGGTATCGGAGCAGTCGATGATCTCATGGGCAAAACAAGACCACGCAACGAGCAGCAAGGCTACGCGACTCTAGATCGCGTGACTGCTCGACTGCAGCAAAAGAAGAGGAAGGGAAAAATCCGTGCTGTAGAGAAGTTTATTCAAGATCAGGGTTGGAGCGTGCTGGAAATTGTAGAAGAAATGACCACAAGTAAGGCAATACCGATCCCTCTATTCACAGGCACAGATTTTGAGAATTGGGCGAAAGAAATTTCGTTCCTCTTTCTCCGGGACAACTGTCTCAGAATTGTCCAAGGGACAGAGCCGAAGTCAGCGGCAAGCGACGAAGACGAGTGGCAGGTCAGAAACGATAAGGCAGTCTCCACCATGGGGATTGGCTTGGGCAAATTGCACCACCACCACCTGGATATCACGAAGACCGCAGAAGAGAACTGGACAGCCTTGAAGAACGTATTCGGGAACCAAGCTAGTGCAGAGATTTCAAAGGTTGAGTTAAAGTCTAAACTTTTTGGCTTAAAAATGGCAGCGGACGAGACTCCAGCAGCTTTTCTAGGAAGGCTGAAGTCGGTGCTCTCCCAGCTGTCAAGTCTAGGTGAAGCAGTCACCGAGAATGATAAGCGAGCAGTTCTTCTCAATGCTTTGGTTCGCCCAGAATTCA